ATATTTGAGGAAAGAAGGTGAGAAGGAATAAACGTAGACTGACATTATGGAAAGCAAAATACAGACAGTCCCTGATTCATGATGGTTCAACATACAATTTTTTGACTGTACAATGGTACAAAAGCAATATGCATTCAGTAGAAATCATACTTCCTATACTCACAATCATTCTGCTTTTCACTGTCAGTGCAATACTCAACGAATTACATGAGATATTCAACACTTTGTTATAAAACAGGCTTTGTATTAGATGATTTTGCCCAACTGTAAACTAATGTAAGTGTTATGAGCACATTTGAGGTAGGCTAGGCAAAATTGTGCTAAGCAGTAGATAAGGTATGTTAAATGCAATTTCAACTGATGATATTTTCAACTTACAATGGCTTTACCAGGACATAAACCTATTGTAAGTCATAAGATGAGGAGCATCTATATATTGGAGCAATCATATTATGTTGAGTTTATATGTAAAAAATTGAGAAGAGTTTTGCTCTAGTGCACTAGATAAGCTAACATATGAAAATCAATGACAATTCTTTCCACTGTCAATATGATTTTTATCATAAACTACAACTCAAAAAAAGCCTATTATTAAATACTAACATTATTTCTAACCCTCACAGTAACTCAGTAATTACCCATTGTTATCTCCTATATTCCAAGTGAGGAAAATGAGTTTCAGAGAATTTAAGCAACTTGGACAAGACCATACAGCTAGCAAATAGCAGAGGTGGGAACTGGAACTAGTCCTGCCTTACTTCAAAACCTGAGCCCTTTCCATTAGCACATTTTTAAAGCACTTTAACAACTAATATCTTATTTGTACCACACAGAAAAAATGGTCAATTTTGGTGTTCTTTCTCTTCAACACCCCATTCACTCCTGCATCTTCCACTTCTACACTCTTACCATCCTCTTCAGTCCCACTGAGGCTCTATCATCACTCCTTCAGTAGTCTGCAAACCTTTAAAGACCATGTCATCCACTATGGACCTGTAGAGGTAAGCTTAAGCACTTAAAAGATAATGCCTCATCATTTTATCTAATTTTTAAAATGCTAAACTATAAAATTAAATTTTTTCTTTCACTGACCAAAATGTACATATGCTGAGATTTTAAGCCTCTTTCTAGATTTTCTGATATTATCTTTCCTTCTCCTTGCCTTCTCCTCTACCCTCTCTTTCTCCCCATATCCCTCCCTCTCTTTTTCTCTCTCCCTTTCTCCTTTTGTCCGTCTTTAGCCCCTCATCTCCCCACTTCTCCCTCCATCCTGTCTTTCCCCATCTCTCCCGCTTTGCTGGTACCATCAGCTTAAACTTAGTCTGACTTCTGGGTGAGCCAGCATTGGTAGGCTCCGGAGAGGAGAGGTCCAGGAAGTAGAGGAGAAGGACAGATCTCTACAATAAGTGCATCTCCAGAAGTGGAGTTATAGAAAAGTCCCCCATTCCTTTGTTAGGCTGTGAAGGTAGTTTCCTCAGCCCTGGTGAGGAAACTAAGGCACCCTGGTGCCTTCACAAGGATTTAGTGAAATCAGAGCATTAAAATCATTAAACATATCTGCTGCTAACATTAGGGACCATATTGGGTCAACTTTATAAGGAAATCAAATATAAGGCCACTGACAAGGTGTAATCTGAAGGACACCAAAATGATGTATCTGACCAAGGGCATCTCTCCTAACAGAATAGTCTTGAATGGATTGTAGTCTTTCAAAATATCCTATGAAAATGCAAACACCCCCAAGAAAGATTTTTTAAAGCCTTACAAGTTAGTATTTCAGTAGGGCTTTACTTTCCCAATGTGACAGCTGATCAAGAGGAAAAGCCTCCTAAGTATGGAATAAGAAATAAAATGAGAAGGTTGTAAATTCCAAAAAGGGAGATGAGTGACAAATTTTGACTCTTGTGTCGGATAGACTCTGTTTCCAAACCATTACTAGGTCCTCCGGGTCCTGGCCTTATGAGTAAAGAGAATTTTTGATCAGCCTTCTAACTTCCAGAGGAATTGGGAACTCCTGCTGCCCCAGTGCTATATTATTGGGTGTTGTTGACAATGAAAAGTTTCAATCTGTACTAATCACATTATGGGTTAAATTTAAGAAAGTGTTGCAGAAAGTGTTGCGAGTTATAATGTAACCATAGGAATAATATGTTAAATAAAACACACACCAGGATGGGACTGCCCCCAGGGGGTGACTGGCCCTTGCTTCAGAGACCTATAGGGTAAACTGTCCCATTGACTCTTTTTCAGGGTGGGAAAAGGGAGGGACAGAAGCTGGAGTTGCTTAAAGATGCAGCCCAGCCAGCTTAGGGAAGGAAGACCCTGGCAGAGACCTAAAACGTTTAGTTTGTGTATTTGCAGACAAAAGAAAATTATGAGCCAGTGGAATGTACAAAGTAGAACTGTATTTCATCCAACCTTTTCTTTCCTTTTCTCCCTAAGCTGACAATCAACATACGTAGCTTATTAACATAACTGAGACTGAATATTTCCTTTTAGTGTGTAGTCTTTTTATATCCGTTAAATGAGCATATTTGTCTCTTTTCTCCCTGAAATACTCATTTGCACAGTTAACAAAACCTCATTTACTTAAAATATTTTCATGACCATTCTAAAGGATCCATACATTCCATAATGTTGTGAATGTATGAAGAAGAATTAAAATGTAGGGGAAACATGATGAAAATTTGGATGTGATTACTTTCTTATTCTTACTTTCCTATTCTCACTTGACTAATTCAGGATACTAAAACCGTTTTAGGCATTTTGACAAAAGTCTGTGTAGCTCCCTTTTCCACCTAGAAAATAATAATTCTCTATATTTAGGCAGTTTGAACTTGTACTTAAGGACGGTGAATTTGGTCTTTGCTCTTTAGTGTAGGGGGTTGGGGAAAGAAAGGTTTCTGTGTTTATATACTGAATAAATATTCCTGTAGGTAAGGCACTTGTCAGTGCTTTAGTCCTTGAACTTTTTAAATATCTATCTTGGCTGCTTCACAATTCCAATCTTAATCTTCTAATCTTCCTGCTCAGGTGCCTCCAGTCCTGATTCTAGAGTACTATTTAGTAAACCAAACCATCCATAACCCAGTAAGGAAGAAAAGATAAAAGTTCCCAAGTTATAAAAAAATCAATGCTGTAAAATCGATGCACTGTAGATTTCTTTGTATGAGACCCCTTTCTCAGCCTCTACACAACTAGCATGTTTACCTATTCAGTTTCCCAATTCGCAGGTGATTAAAAAGAATAACTTAAAATGAGATTACTGCTGCTACAGCTTATTATTATTATTATCATTAACCTTTATTTGGTGTTATTAGCTGCCAGACACTGTGCTAAGCCTTTTTTCACACATTATTTCACTGAATGTTTGACAACCCTATAAAGTCAAATAATATTAATAGCTTCCTTTTACAGTTTCATAAACTAAGGTTTAGATTGTAATTATCAGAAAGATGAAGTAATTTGCCAAATTTGTATAGAGTAAGTATAGACAGGCATATAGGTAATAACATGACGGGCTATGTTACAACTTGATTGCAAAAGAGTAGAAAAATATAAAGGAAAAGAAAATATAAGAAGTTGGGAAGCATAGCAATTTGGAAGTTTTTAATTTGAAGACAGACAACTTTGTACCTCTCAGTAGCTTTCAGAGGGCAACACTGTGTTACAACAGTGTAAACTAGCTGGTTTGTGTAAGTGCGAATCCAGACCATTAAAACTGGATTAAATTATGTACAAAATCATTTCTTAAGAATGGATGAAGAAGTATAACATATGCTATAAATATTTCTGCTATTTATTAAATTTCAACTTGATGTCCAGTATCGAAACTTCAAAGTCATTGATACAGAAATTGCTAAGCGTTAGGAAAGAGTTTCTATTAATAGTTGTTCCCTAACTAAGCCCGTTACAAATTCAGATGTTGGGAGTTCTCTTCTCTTTCTGTATAAAATAAATGTTAACTGTGTGTTTTGGCTTCTTGGAGGGCAGGAAGGCTTCAGTTATCTGAAAACTTCACATAAATAGAACATATCATCCCTGATGATGGTGGTATTTTTATATGTGTTGTTTTTCTAGAAAAATAAAAATTTGGAAGTTAAGGAAAGAATAACCTCCATTTGCAAAAGATTTTGTTTTTACTTTCAAAGCTTCTGCATTCAGATTCAGGTAGCCCAGTCTGTCAATTTGCTATGTTTTGGGCCTATTCCATCACTAGGGTTTATCCCATTATGCTGACTAATGCAAAACTGACCATTTGTAAAGGAGACATGGGACCATGGTTGACATGATGCGTGATTTGAAATGGCCAGATACAATCCTCAACCCCACTCCTCACTTGGATAAAAATAGTTGCCCCTAAGCCTTGCCTAAAATGGCCACATAGCCCATACCCAAGGCATAACTGTGATCTGGCATGAGAAGAGAAAGTGAGACTCTGAGTAGGGTCACTTCCCAAGAGGCCAGTCTTTAGTGGATGTCCTGAGTGCTACTTGGAGCACCTGATCAGTTCAGGGAAGCATGAGATCCTTGGTCCAGGACATTCAGAAAGAGCAGGGACTCTGTAAGACTGCTATAAGTACCCACTAACACAGTTGGTCTCCCCGACATTTGTACCCTTTTATACCTTTTCTAGATCTGTCCATGGTAAGTTTTCCAAGAAAACATTACAAGGAAAAACTCTAGGGACTGGATAGGTAGTAAGCAAGGGAAGGGGCTGAGGATTTGCAGGCTGTTCTCTGAGTGAGAAGTAAACAAATGGCCCAATTTGGACAGAGTAAGAGTAGGTTACATGAGACAGACATAAAAAATCACATCCCAAACCACTGTGGTCATTCAAAAATGTTTGCAACTTTTCACAAGGGCAGTGGTATTACTCCCAATTTCCTGGCCAAATATTCATTAAAGTAACCAAGGACTGAGTACATGAAGCTGCTTCACATCAGCACAGCATCCTACTTTCCTTGCAGCTCTGAACTGTGAGGTACTGTCAAAAAACTCTTCCACACTTTAAAAAGCTATGTTACTGAGGAGAGTTGGAATGTGTTCTGGGAGTGGGTGTGTTTGCTTGAGTTCAGTGTGTGCAGAAAAGGCAAGCCTCCACAGCCATTTACACATTTCGCTCCTCAGCGATGGGTACACAGACAGCCAAGCTCCTGGACTAAGTCTCTGAATGGTAACGTACATTTATAAAGATTATTTTCTTAACTATTTTGAGGCATTTTTATAAATAATATGCATGTGTCTGCTGAGGGCATATATATATATTTAGTCAACTTTTGCTTGTTTTCTCCTGAGGCTAGTCTTGTGTGGTTACTTATGTGGTATGATTTCTGAGGTGTCAGAAAGAGCTCCCTCCTACTTCCTACCACCCTAGTCACCCAAAAATATCTCTTGGGTTGGCCCACCGCAGAGTCTAAAATTCCCACATTGCTCAAACATTTGATTTAGTCACTGAAAGCAGCTTTTAAATCCCAAATGTTACATTGGAATATTAGGCAGGTATTCAAAATTAAAGACTATATAAAACAGAAAATAATGTGGAATAGTTGTTTTTGATATAATGTTAAGTTTCAAAGGATAAATGCAAAATGACATTCACAGTCTGGGATAGGTGCTGTTCTTAAAATGTCATGGAGTCAGATCCAGCATATATACCCCAGCTCATGAACATAAGCCTATGGTAAAAGAAACCCAGCATCGTTGGGCAGATTTTGTTTTGATTTATGTTGAATGTGTGCTTTCCACAGTTTCTGATCCTCAGCTCCCACTCTCTTCGCAGTGTATCTGACACTTCCCCTTACTGAGCTCCGGAGGCTCCTTCTTGCTGAGCTCCGGAGGCTCCCAGTGACCTCTTGATAATCAGCCTTGGTGGGGCCCAAATCCCTACCCCTTGGAAAACTCACTGAGCCTGACATCTGCCTGTAAGCAGCTTTCAGGAAAGATCTCACAAACGCCCACCCAATCTCTCTTGGTAGCAAACTGTCAAATCATGCCCATTTCCTCAAAAGATGGTGGAGGACTTAGCAGCCTCCTATATTGCTCTGAAATTGGAGAATGAAATTCTGCAGGCTCAAGTGCGGTGGCTGATGGAAGAAAATGCTACCCTCCGGGCCCAGATCTCAGAGCTTCAGAAGTCCCAAGCAGCCAAGGAGGATGATCTACTCCGAAAGTCCTCAGAGGCCAAGGAGCCCCAGAAGCTCCCAGAGCACACGAATCCCCCAGCAGCCTGGGAGTCCCAAAAGACCCTAGAGTTCAAGGAGCCCCAGAAGCCACCAGAGCCACAGGAGCTTCCACCCTGGGAACCCCCAGCAGCCTGGGAGCTCCAGGAGGCCCCAGCAGCCCCAGAGTCCCTGGAGCCTCCCGCAACCCAGGAGTCCCAGAAACCTCCAATGGCCCATGAGATCCCAGCAGTCTTGGAGGGCCAGGGGTCTGCAGACACCCAGGATCCCACATCAGCCCAAGAGCCCGAGACTTCAGAACCCCAGGATCCCCCAAATATTGAGAAGCCCCAGGAGGCAACAAAGTGCCAGGAGACTGCAGCACAGCTAGAGTTCCGTGAGCTTCCAGCTCCTCAGGATCTTCTGGAGCCTTCAAATGCCCAGGAATTCCTAGAACTCTCAGCAACCCAGGAGTCCCTGGAGAGTCTAATAGTTGTGGAGACATTGGCAGCTCCAGAGTTTCTACAGGCCCCTATTGGGTTAGAGGGTACAGCTTTCCCCCTGGAATACCCTTTAACTTTCAATGGAGATTCCCAGAAGCTTCCCGAGTTCCTGGTTCAACTGAATAGTTACATGAGAGTCAAAGGGCACCTGTGTACCACTGAGGCAGCCCTGGTGAGCTTTGTTGGCAATTGCTTCTCAGATAAGGCAGGATGGTGGTTCCAGCTCTTACTGGATATCCAAAGCCCCTTACCGGGTCAATGTGAAAATTTCACACATGTGCTCCAGGATACTTTTGATAATCCCGAAAACATGGAAGATGCCAACCAGTGCATCTGTCAACTCTGCCAAGGGGAGGGTCATGTAACAACCCACTTCCACCTTGTTGCTCAAGAGCTGAACTGGGATGAAAACATTCTCTGCATTCAATTTCAAGAAGGGCTTTCCAGTTCTATACGAGATTAACTGTTTCACACAAGCCCAGCCACCAACCTATCTGATCTCATCACTCAGTGCATCAGCCTAGAAGAGAAGTCTGATCCCAATCCATTAGGGAAAAGCTCCTCTGCAGAGGGAGATGGGCCTGAGAGTCCACCAGATGAAAACCAACCTATGCAAGCTGCAATCAACTGTCCACACAACAGTGAAGCTGAATGGGCCCATTGGCGCAAAGGCCACTTATGCCTCTACGGTGGTTATCCTGGTCATTTTGCCAGAGATTGCCCTGTCAAGTCTCATCAAGCCCTGCAGGCAGGAAACTTTGAGACCTGCCAGTAAGGGGGACCCCAGGAGGGCCAATCTACAAATATGCGTCCCCCTCTCTTACAATATCGATGTCTCATACACTATGGCTTACTGTTGAAATCCGACTGAGCTCTGAAAGGAAGACAACAATTCTTTGAGCAAGCAATGGTAGATTCAGGCTCCTACAGAAACAGCATTGATCAGGCTGTGGTTCTTCGAGAGAAGCTGCCCATCGCAGTAATATCTTCCCTCTGATGCTGGAAACTGTCGACAGCCGTCCACTTATTAATGGGCCCATAAATAAGGAAACATCACCTGTCAAAGTTAAAATTGGAAACCATGTAGTGGAGCTCCAGTTTGACATTATTCATGCACCACAATATCCTCTGAATCTTGGAATCTATTGGCTTGAGACACATGACCCAAACGTAGAATGGAGTACCCGCCTTGTGCCCTTTCCATCACGTTATTGCTTTGCTTTGCTACAATTGCTACAATTGCTACATTCCTATGCTTTGCTACAATTGCTTCAGGTACAGGTGGAATAGAAGAAATCTTGATGAAATAATTGCTGGCTAGATCCTGTGTCCTAGTGATTGTTCCTGGCACCCTGTCTTCTGTTACCTCAGCTGTCATCAGCATTTACTGCTCCCTGAATATTCTACTGAACCTCTTGCTGTGTACTAAGGCTACCTGTACAACGACTCTGCCTCTTAGATGATAGACTGAACCTGATGACTTTGAGCTGCTTTTTTTTTTCACTAACTCTGCATGCCTCTATCTCAGAACCCTGCATTCTGCGGAACTGTTTAAATTACAATTTATACTAACAATACACATGAGAATAGATGTTAGAAACTAATAATGAAAAAGCGTAGCTGTTAAACTGACTTGATTTTTTTCTTATCAATATTTTCTATATCATAAAATTGCAACATCTTTTACACAAAGAAAATAAGTTTGTAAGTGATATTTTTTAAAGAATCAATAAATATTAGCAATTTCTACTTGTGTTTGAATTATTTCTTGGCTTAGCTAGAGGAAGAGATAACAAACTAGTAAATTGGGAGGGAGAGAGGGAAATGGAAAATGTTCAAAGTTTAGGGAGGCTCCTAAACATTCCAGGTATAGTGACAGGTCTGCAGATGATGGAGAAATGATGTAGAGGGTAAGATGGAGAGAATAGGGAATGGTTAGGGCTGAAAGTGAGAGTAGGGAATGGTTAGGGCTGAAAGTGAGTGAAGTATGGACGGATTAGGGGAAAGGTAGAGGTAAGACTGAGAAGAGGGTTTTGGGGAGATTGGGAGGAGGTTGAAGAGGGTTTAGAGGAGGATTGGGGTGCTGAAGAGAGGAGTTACGAGAGGGGGAAATTTCTACAAAAATAAAAAGAGCACTGACAAAGACATTGAACAGCTTTGAAGGCAAATGTCTTGGACTTCACAAGTTAACCAAACAAAGAAGTGCATTGGAGCAGGTAATGAGACCACTTCAGTGACCCAGCCCTTCCAGTAAAGTAACAAATTCTTTTTCCCTGCAGCAGGCAAATTTTTCCTAGAACTACAGATTAATCTGCTCTTGCCAATGCACAGAAGGGTGGAAGGAATCAGCTTTTAACCCATGAAGAGTGTTAGTGGCCAACTGTTCCTCTCCTATACATACAAGTTACCCTGCACTGCTTAACCATGCTACTTGCATGACACACATGGAGAGCCAAGCCAAGGAAAGGAACTTATGTCTTTACATGCCTGAGAGGGACTACTGCCTTGACTTAAAAACACACATATCACACACACATAAACACACATACACACACACCAGGGTCCACGGGATGGAAGAGGTAGAAGCTCCAGGTGAGGTGTGAGGAGTGTTCTAAGAAGAACCTAATGCTTTTCCTCTGTGTTTTCAACTTTCCCTTGGGAGCCTCTTGCACTGAGGTTGCTAAAAGTGGACTCTTTCCCTTATTTAGACAAATGTAGACAAAACAGCAAATAAATGATTGTAACCCTAGAAGGTAATGGGGAGAGGCTTACCGTTCATTGGGCCACTAATATGTTCAGCTACAATGTCAGGCATTTAACACACATTAATCATCTCATTACTCCTCAGAACAATCCAGTGAAGCAGTTTGCTCCTGTTTTGGCAATGAGCAAACAGAATCCAAGCAAGGCTAATTCACTTGCCCAAAGCCACACAGCTAGTAAGTGATGAAGACCTGTTTGGCCTCCAAAGCCTTTGCCCTTTTCCCTACAGCATGCCAACCTCCCTAATGCAGTGGTAAGGGCCAAACAAAATTATGGCAGCAGAGACCTAAGTGGGTCCCTTACATTTTCTCCTAAAAATGAGGGGAAAACTCAAAACAAAAGCTTCTAAAGAGTTTGGCTAATAGTTCAATTTCCTATGCTTTGCTAGCACTTCCATTTCCCTGGTTCCTTTATTCTACTGCTAACCCTGTCATCACCCACCAAACTTCCTTTATCATTTCTTGGAAATTTTTCTTTTGTATACCTAATGTCTCAGACCTCTTTCAGATTCCAAGGTGTTTTTAATGAGAGTTGGTGGTCCAGAACAGTTATTTACAGGACCTGTGCATTACATAGCAGCACCACCCCTTGGATTGTCTACCTAACACTTCCATAACCCATCCAAATCCTCTGCAGCCTTAAATTCCACCTCTTCTAGTCCTCACTGGCCTTCCCTTCCTTTCCTGAACAATCAAATGTACTTTGGCTCTATAATTGCTTTGTGATATGTGGAGGATCTTTCCCTAGGTATACGTCTTGTATTTCCCCCACCCTTCCACCCACTTAGCTTAGGTGAAGGGACAGAACGATCTACATCCCTACCCTGGACAGCTAAGTGTAACACAGTGTCTTATACATAAAAGGTTTGACATAGTGCCTGATTCTATGACATTTAATTATCAGAGAAAGGGGCTTATTTGCATACTTTATATAGGCTCTTCTTGCATTTTCTCCTACTCAGTTGCTCATCTTTATTCCTAAAACCAAACACTATTTGTCAATGTGGAATTAAAGAGAGAGAGAGAGAAAAAAAAAAAAAAAACCTTTAAGCAACCATAAAGAAAAAATGCCTCTTATTGGTCAAATTACCCTGGACCTAGGAAGATCAACTGTGTTTGGTTTCCCTGAGACTGAGAGGAGTCATGGGACATAGCGCTTTCTGCACCAAAAATGTGACTGTACCAGGCAAACTGAGATGGCTGGTCAACCTACCTGGACCCTACATTTTTCTATCTGGCTACAGAGGCTTATTTAATTAGAGTACAATTCTTTATTTCACAAACAGGAATAATTATCTAATCACAGAATCACAGATGCTGTAGGTTGAAAAAGATTCAATAAGCCCGCGTCTTAATTTTACAGATTAATGAGCTAAGGACCAGAGAAAGGAAAGTGACTTAACAAAGCTCAGTGTATCCATACCTATTGTTTTCAAATCCTTTGCCCTCTTTTCACCGTGATCCACAATTCTAACCCAACAGTTAAAAATCAAGTCTGTGGTTACCATTCAGTTAGGTACTGTGGACAGTGTTTAAAGTATAACATGAGAGGTTTAAATGTGGTCAAGAACAAAAAAACTAGCAGGCATTACACAGCTAGTATAGGTAGCCAAATGCTAAGTTCTGTGATGGCAACCAATATACTAAACTGAAACATACCAGCTGATGAGACTAATAAAAATTTCCATTTAGTGAGCACCTGCTTTTTGTCGGATATTGTGTTGGGCCATTTAGGTCTTTTCAACTGTCTGCGAAGTAGATATTGTTAGCCCCATTATACAAATCAAATGATTGTAGTCCACTGAAGTGAGGTTACTTGCCAGAGGTCACACTGCTAGGAATTGATAGATTCTAAATACAAACTCTGATCTGTCTCATTCCAAAGCTGAAGTGTCATCCAATGTACCACACTGCTTCTCAGTATGAATGACCTTTACTCTATTAACCACCTTAATAATATTGATTCACTAGACATGAGTACTAGTACCCTAGAAAGGATTTTAATTTGTTAAATTATTCATTACTTTACTGACTCAACAAGCATTTATGGAATGCCTTCTATACATCAGACACAGGCAGGAGAGAAGAGGAGGGAAAAGAGAGAGACAGAAAGGAAAAAATATAACTACAGCATGATTCATTGTTTTTGCTCTCACCACAATTTAAAAGGGGAAGCTGTTGCGTAGTGCAGCACTGTGACATATAAAGGAGAGAGCACTAATTCTCCTTGAACTGAAATGGTGTGTTTTGAGCTGGTTCCTGGAGAAACCTCATTGGAAGCAAGAGGAAGGGCAGGGCTTCCTAGGTTGAGTATGGTGCAAACAAAAAAATCAAGCTGGAGGGAAAAAGCAAGGTGTCTTCAGAAATAATTCTATGTCACTGGAGAGTAAAGACGTGTGTGTGTGTGTGTGTGTGTGTGTGTGTGTGTGTGTATGTGGAGGGTGAAGGTGGGGAGATGAAGCTTTAGGTTAAAGACATTATCTACCTAATAATAGCTAAGGAGTTCAAACTTTATCCTGTGAGTGATTTAGACTAAGATATTTTTCTTTCTTTTTTTCTGTTGTAGATATGATTGTGTTTTTCTCTCCTGCTATGAAATACTGCACAATTATTTCAACAAATTTATATGTATCAGGAGTTTATAACATAAAAATTGGAGGTTGGCCCCTTTCTCTATCTCACAAACTCAGAGTAAGAAAGAAACCTGATTAGTTTGTATTTTAATAATTTTATGAGAATATAGAAAATGATTAAAAAAAAGTGAGTGACAAAGTGTGCCTATTCTTTTTATCTTCTTAGATTTGATGAAGTTGAGTTCAAACCATCAAAAGAAAAATACTAAAAATAAATTAAACTCAACTTTCATCAAGTATTTATTTTGAGGGCTTACTGTAAGCAAGGCACTGAAGTAAACATAAACATATTCAGGACAACATTCCTACCATCAATTATTTTACAATCTAATAATGGACAAAGGATCATGAATAATGAGAAACTACCGTTTCATTTGGAC